TTTTTTTATGGACTGCCGCTTTAATTCCTCTGAAAGGCGCCGAGGCGCGCCTCACAGGCGCCTCTCGCCACGCGAAAAGGCGAGCCGATGCGACCTGAAGCGAGCGCCTCGCGATCAGGGTCGCCTCAGGCAGTGGCGAGGCGAAGCGGCCCTCGCCTCGGTCGCCTCGCCTCGAGGCGTCGCCATTTTAAACTATGACTAACAAGTTGAAATTGAGCCTTAACGATTGCAACTCATACTTTAACAAACTGAACTAAAATTAGATAAGAATTCTACTTTTTGAGCTTTAACGACTCAAGCTTGACTCGATTTGTTAACTAAACCAACTTGAGCTTGGTTTGGCTCGGCTAGTTTGATCTCGAGCTCGAGTTTACAAACAACCCGTATCCGTTTAATAGTTCCAAGTTGCAACAAATTTAATTATAATAAAAAGAAACGAGTCGAGCCCATGAGCAACTCGTTTGGTCTGACAACGGTAAGTGACATGAGTGGAAAATAAAAAGAGGGGTACTATTGGAATATCATATTAATCATATTTTTGTTATCAGCCGTTTATAAACAGACCAACTAACTACCAAGTGATGAAGATAAAGTTCAGAAGTCAGAACTCCAAATCCTTTTCGTCTCAGCCATTTTTTTGCTGGAAGAAAAATAAAAGCTACAGAATAAAAAGGTTCAAAATATGATTTGAAAGCTTGAAATTTGAGAAAAAATTTGAAATTGATTATAGATAGATATGTCTGTTCTCTGTTCCCCACTTAATTCCACGCGACATTATTTCCAATGTAAGCCTCTCTCTCTCTCTCACTCTCGCGCGATTTCAATCTCAGTTATTGTTTGATTTTTTGGGGTTTTTGGTGATTGAGTTATAGAATCGAAACCAGAAATGCTCTGTTTTTGGCAATTATTTGTCTGATGTCGTTGAAATTCAGCTCATATCCTCCAACCCTATGCCGAGTTTGTGTGGAAATGGATAAAAAAAAGACACTATTTTTCCCTTTTTCTTTTATTATTATGTTGTTAATTTATCATTACAAGTTGTATAATTTGAGTACTTTCAGGCATTGGGGTTTCAAGATATCCGGTTCATGGATCGTGTTATGCTCAGCCGAGACCATTGTTAGTTGCTGGCCCGCTCCATAGTATGGAGCTTGGCAGGTAATAGTTACTCAAGCTCGTTAAATTGTATGCGATGTTCGCTATATGTTTCTATATTCCATGAGATATACAACTAGGATGAAAAAGTTGTACTTTGAAGTATTTTTCTCATCAATATTATGGACTGCTAATTCAGTAGTTTGCTTTCTTATAATCTATGCTCGTCCTTAAATTGCTAGAGAACAGGGCAAAGGCTCGGTTCACTTTGGCTTAGAGGAGAAATTAAAGAAGAGAGTTTTGCTCACCTTTCTGGTTGGACCAATCATGTGGTCTACATTACCGTCTTTCGGGAAGACTAAGAAAGAAAACCCCTATAACGAAAGACGTCTTCTCGAGCAGAACAAGCGGATTCAGAGCGAGAATAACGTGCCTGATGAATTCCCTAATTTTGTTAGAGAAGGTTTTTTCTGATCTTACATCAGTTATGTTAGAATTGGGACTAATGATATCATAGTATTTTGTTCTGATTCTTTTTGGGGTGAAATTTGGTTCAGGTTTTACCGTAAAAGTGGTGATATCAGAAAACTATGTCACGCGCGACTCGGGTCTTATTTTGTGGGACATTGCAGTTGGTCAAGGTGAATGCCCAAAGGCTGGTCAGCAGGTTTCTCTTTCATTTATTCAGTTTATCCATTCTTTTTGGACTTGTTTTTCGTTAGGATTGGTGTTTAACTTAAAAATCTGTAAATTGAGCTGCATAAACTCGGTTTCATTGAAACTTTCAAATAATGGAACTTCCAAGAGAATATTACCATGAGAAGATAAGAGTAGATTGAATGTTTGGTTCCTAAACTGCTATGATGTCTATCTTTCTCTGAGAATAGAAAGTTGCCACGTAATAGCTATTCTGCTTCAATTTCTTTCTTTAGAACTCTAAAAAATAGAAGATTTAGTTACGATTAGAAATTGCCTTTCTATCTTCTGCCACAGTGCCATGGATCCTTTACTCATACTTATTCAATTGTTCTGTTTCGTGATTTCATAATCCAATTTGCAATTTCTAAGTGACTTTCTCTATGTTTTTTGTTTAGGTGATATTTCACTATGTTGGTTACAATGAGTCCGGGCGGCGTATAGACAGCACTTACATACAAGGTTCCCCTGCCAAAGTTAGGCTGGGCAATAATGCTTTGATTCCAGGTGAATAGACATAAGATTATATGATGAAATTCTTTTAGTTTTAATCTTTTTTTCGAGATAAATATACTAAGACATTGGAAAACCGGAAACAGGGTTTGAGGAAGGGCTTAGAGACATGAAGCCCGGAGGAAAACGGAGATTAATTATTCCTCCAGAGCTTGGACCCCCCGTGAGTAATTTTTCCATCTAGAAGCCGATAATCACTTTTTTCTTAATTCAAAAAGGATTTTCCTAGGTCTAAAAACTTTTGAGTTGGTCAATTTTCAAATCCATCATAATGGCTGGCAACGATAATAAACCAATATAATTAATTGATTATCATAAATTAACAACAAGTTTTTCGAATTCCTTTCATATATGTTAAATTCTGGCAAGTTATTTACATGATGAAGTTTCCTGTTGCTTAAACAGGTAGGACCTTCCACTTTCTTCAGCTCCAAGCAATTTGAAGTATTTGATGTAGAAATGCTGAGCATCCAAGATTGCACGAGGAGGACGATCGGATTTTATTCGGATGTTGTCTGCAGTTGAGCAAGATGCCATCCAGAAAATTTTCTCTGGTCAGGTGCTGTTAGAAGAATCGATCAATGCACTTGAAAAGGTTCGAATACACTAAGCCTAAAGGGAGAATTAGATAATTTAGATTCATAATTTATTTTTTTTCGCTGTGTCGTAATGTAACGACTATCAGTACATGTTTTTTACACAAGAAGATAAAAACTTCAATGTCTAAGAGCTAAAGTCGTCCGAAATTCTAGAGACGGCTGATGTTTTGTTCTGTCTTCCAAGAACATGATCAGACTTGAACTTCATCCTCGGCCGACCCCTAAAAGAATAATAGATAGCAGAAAATTCAGGGTCAGGGCAATCTTAAAGTTCAATGGAACTTCACTAGCAGGAACTCCATTTCCCACTGAAAATGACAATGGAGAAGTACTGAACAAACTGTTCTGTAATTTGGGCAGGTGACAGAGTTAGAGACTTTAATTGCACAGCAACAAGTGCATATATAGACAACCAAAAATATTTTTGATACATAGACACTGCATAACATTATGTAGCTGAAAATTCGTTCAAAACTGTGCATAGTTTACAGAAATACCAACTCAATCGTCAAGAAAATCAAGCAAAAACATGTCAAGATTCCAGAATTTATAGTAAAAACTGTAAAGCACCTTAATTTTTTAAGAGGGGTTTTGGCAAATGGAAAAACTCTGTGAGCTTGTACAACGAGTGCCCAGTGGTAAGTTATCACACATTAGAACTTACAGGATTTGCATGAAACTGGCCATAGAATGCATAAACAGCAAGTGCCACAATGCTGAGGACTACAAATCTCACCCAGGCTTCATAGTGGAGCTGTAACAGGATGTGAAAATTCCAAATGGGTTAGTAAATTTTATTCACCTCCAATGCATGAAAATTCATGAAGCAGAACATAGCAAGAGCATGGCAACCGAGTTACCTGAGCGACCAAGAAAATATTGACGAAAATGCTAAGTGCTGGAATTATTGGAACTCCAGGACAAGAAAAACCGGGCGGATCAATATGAACCTGGGCAGACATTAAAACAAAATTATTCACACAGGCATAACTTGTCACTTTATCAAATGTACAATTATATTAGCATCCTGGGCTTTTTCATAAACTTGCAAAAATTGCGTCATCATCACATTGCTAATAAAACAAAATAGAAACCAATTTATCAATTTGAGAAATCGATGTGTGGTGACTAACTTGTCGTAAATGAAGAGCCGCAGCAAAAATGATTGCAAGCACAGCCGGTACAATCATGAAAAAATACGTAGATCCAAAACGAAAGATGGCACCAGCTGCAAAACCGCAACCAGCAACCAGAAGGAGGCAAATGATGCCTTCCACCCGGTTTGATATCCAACGAGCAGAAAACTGACCCGTCTTATCTTTCCACCTCATGCTCACGACACAAGCTGAAACAACTGAATACCCCGTCTGAAACAAAACCATTCACCCAGTTACCACAAGCTCTCTTTTCATTATTAAACACTAAACAATACAATATTGAACACACACAAATACACATATGTATATGTAAACATTATCAATAACATTTTGCATAATGCAGATTAGATTATGCGGCTTAAAAATTGTCCCAGGAAAAAGTAAACTCTCGCTTTTGTCAGTTCAGAGGAAGCAATTTAAAAAATGCCTGTAACATACCAAGGATCCAACAGACAGAATATGGGAAAGCACGCGAACGTTAAGAAAAGTCGCCAAGATGCTGGCAATAAGACCAACCCACACTTGGGAATGAATCGGGGTATGACGTGTTGGGTGCACTTTGGCGAATAAAGCTGGTAATAACCCGTCCCTTCCAAGCCCGAGATATAACCGAGACTGCCAAAGATAAAGAAAGCAAAAATCATTTGTTGCCTGGTGAAAACTGAACAAGTTTCTGATTAAGACCCAAAGGAATAAATAAATGATAATGTACCTGAACATAAAGTCCCACTAGGAGCGTCGTGGTGAGTCCAGCAACAGCACCAAAGCTGATCAGCACCGAGACGTATTTCATGCCCTTGGAGGTGAAAGCTTTAGCCAGAGGTGCTTCTTCTCCAATCATATTATACGGGAGCATTCCAGTAATCACTAAGCAGACCCCCACATACAGTACAACACAGGCCATGAGACTACCTATTATGCCTAGTGGCAAGTCCCTCTGGAGATGAAATTCGGAAAGTGAGTAATTTGGGTGAAAATGTGATCCTTTCTTTTAAATGCCAGTAAAATGTCTTCACATGAATAACAAATACAACCATGTGGTGTGAAATAAAATCCCTTTGCTTTTGAAATACCTGTGGTCTCTTGGATTCTTCAGCAGAATTAGCTACGGCATCGAATCCTACATATGCAAAAAAGACCACTGTTGCTCCAGTCAATATTGACTTAAAACCATGTGGGGCGAATGGAGACCAATTTGAGACATCCACCTCAAAGGCCCCAGCAATTATGACAAATAGAACGATGAGAACCTGCAGAAAGATTTCTTTGTTCTGTCACTCATAGAGACCGTAGTATAGCTATTACAAGTTCAATTTGACATTCTCTGTCAAATAGGAAACACGCGAAAAACTATCCGGACTTACTTTTTCAGAAGAAGGAAATG